GCCAGGCACTCGGGGCTGGAAGTGTCCTCGGTGATGGGGGTGGGGGTTGGAGGGAGGTCCTGTTGTTAGACTGGGTGTAGGAGAGAGGAGACACAGGGGCTTCCCGCAGCCCCTCCTAGTCCTTCCTGTCACCCCTTTTCCAGTCCTGGGGCCACACAGGTGAGGAATGAGGCTCGTGCCCAGAGAGGCGTTGAGAGCACCTGCATTGCCAGGCCCCCTGGCAGCAGACAAGCGGCCAAGAGCCGGGCGGATTCCCGCCCTGGAGATGGTGTATGTGTAGATCTCTTTCCCGGGGAGGGAGAGGTGCCCCTAAAATTATTTTCTTTTTACATCTTTCTTGTTTTGCCGATTATACAAGAAACACATGCTCTGGTGAGTATGCCACACACTGTGGAAATTAACCGAGAAAAGAAAACGCCTTTTAATTTCACTTCATCTGCTCTGCAGGGAGAAGGACTCTTATCTTCTGTGGGCTATTTCCCAGCACACCTGTTCCACGAGGAACAAGGACGGGCTCAGACTCTAGTGGCGTTCTGCTACAGTTTTCAAAACCTGAAGCCTGCCCCGTGGACATTTTCCACGTCAGGACCAGAACACTGGCGGCCTGATGTCCCACGGCGGTGAGGAGCGTGATGCGTTTCTGTTCCCTGGGGAAGCCCGTTCCCCCCACATTTCCTGTACTTGGTAAGGGAGCCCCGGCCCACGGAACTGTGCACACGCCTGAGAGTAGGGCACGCACTTGGGTAGATTCTCGGAGCGGGATTGCTTCTTGGCCTGGGCGGGCCGCTGGCCTCTGGGAGGGAACCCAGCTCAGTTGCTTCCAAAGGGCAAAGGGCCACAACTTGGCTCCTCACAGACCGCCTACTGGTCGTCAGCGGGATAGCAGCCTGGTGGCCCCTGTGAGCGGGTCACCCCTGGGCTGCCTGCATCTTGCAGAGCGAGAAAGTTCCTGACAACGAAGTGCCCGGGGAGCAGCAGTAGAGCGGGCTCAGACATGTGAGGCCACCGAAGGGCCCCTCCGAGCAGGGGGACGGCATGGAAGAGCCACAGCACCCCCCCCCCTCCCCGCCCGAGGCACTGGGCGCGCTTGGCTGCTTTTGAGAGTTGACATCAGAACCTCCCAAATGCATGACCCTGGCTGACCTCCGTGGAGGAGTCCGGGGCTGGGACAGGGGACTAGGGGACAGGATTCCTGCCCCCCTCCTCCTCCTTGCTCTGTGAGCTCCCCCTCTTCAAACACCTCCTTCCTTTCTCGACTGAAAGGCTAATGATAATTTTGAAAAAACTGTAACTCCTTGAGCAAAGTCACCAGGATGATGCTTCTTCCTCCTGGTGGGGAATGGCCGAGCTCGGGTCAGAGCCCCCGCCCAGCCCGCTCTCCTCAGAGCCCAGTGCCGCGTCCTGGTCTCTGTTTACTGCAGAGCTGGGGGGGGGAGGGGGGGAGGCTCGCTCTCCCTGGTGGCTGTGGCTAATTGGGCTCCAGCGAGCTCACTCCTGGGACCCTCCTCTGCGGAGTCCTCCCTGTGCTCTGTAAGTGTGTGAGCAGCGGTGGGACTCGGGGAAGACACCCCAAGATGAAAACAGAAGCCAGAGTTAGGAAGAGGGAGGCCCTGGCGGGCAGGGGACACCTCAGGGGTGAGGGGCGAGCTCTGTGGCAGGCTCTGGTGTTGGAGGGGGGACGGGTAGGGAAGTTACAGCTGAATTCTGGGTCCTTCTGTGGAATTCCAGTTTAAACCACCTCTGTGCTCCCAGGCACTTAAATTCTCTCTGCTGCCTTCTCTGTTAGGCCCCGGGTCCTCCTTGGGGTTGCCCGAGGCCGTGACCACAGAGGGCAATGGGGTGCCTGGTGGATAAGCAAGAAGCAAGCACTTAGCTCCCCTTTTACCTGGGAGCAGCAGGGAGCCACGGCTTTAAAGACTCGAGTCTCATTGCAGCGTAGCTATGCTCCAGCCACCCCAAGACCCCTTTCTGGGGTGAAAGGAACCCCATCACCTCTGGGGCTGGGTCAGGGGCTCTCCAGGGGTCAAGAGGGAGGCAAAGCAGGTGTCCAGAGACCCGAGCGGGCCCAGGTGTGGCCGGTCGCCAGCCCCGCCTCCACCCTGCTGCTCGGTCCTGGAGAAGTCACTTCTGTGTCATTTTCCTCATTTACACACGAGGACCCCGGTCTGCCCAGCAGGCCACGGTGTGGAACGCAAGGAGGTGCGACTGTGTTTTGCAAAGCACCAGGTCTCAGATAAATGTAAGGATTAGCTTATCGAGGGCGCGATTGGCCGTCCCCAGGAGGACAGGGGGAGAGTAGAACCGAGGAGTCCTCTGTTTATAGCTGACTCATCTGGCAGGAGGCCGGTGGTGTAACCTTGGCCACTGGGTAACTTTCCTTGAATCACGCATGTCTCTGGAGCAGATGAACCAGCAGGAGCACCCTTAGGGAATGCGCCTGTCACCTGGAATACTCGAGGCTAGCTGCTTCTTGGAGCCTTTTTCACTAAGTCCCAGGGCAGCAGCCAGGGGTGGGGAACACCGGCCCTCCTTAGCCCCATTTCACAGATGTCACCATCGACCCACCTCCTGCAGTCAGTCAGAGGGAGATCACGGTCCGAACCCACACATCACCTGCCCAGTCCTCTACACCCCCAGCTTCCTCAGTTGGCTCCCAGGGAACAGAACTGTCGCTCTTTAGCACCCCCGGATATTAACCCCTGACTCCCCAGAGCTCTGGGCAGAGGGCCGCTGGGTCTCCACCCTCACCCCGGCCCTGCCAAGCTGAGGAAGGGGAGGGGAAGAATTGAATGAGCCACCCCCGGGTCCTCCCTCTGCCTTCCAGACTCCCATCTCAGTCCTGGGGTAAACACGCTTCGCCACCACCCTGCCGGTGGTCTGAGATGCCGGAACGTTTTGGATGCCCACCCCAGGGAGGATCCCAGAGAAGGAGTATCAGATCGCTTAGTTTTTTTGGAGCAGTGGAGAAAAAGTCTCCTGCAAAATCAGAAGCCTCTCAAGGGAGGGAGCCCCCTTTATGCCTGAGGACAGACTCCGGAGATCTCAGTGCTGGGAGCCATCTGCAAAGGGCATTCAGTCCAGGCCTCACTTCCTGGGTGAGCCCATGCCAAGACCACAACGAGCAGGGGGTGGGCCCCTGAAGGCATTTAACAGTGTGCACCCTCCCCCCTCAGAGGTGGACTCACCCAAAGCACCCAGGATTATCACCACGGGGAACGTGTTGGGCTGACACCCGGCCCTGCCTCCACCCTGCCCCCTGCTGCTGCGGGCAGCACCGCATGCCTGTGGGGGATGGAACATGGGCAGGGAAGGCCCAGCGGGTGGGCGTTCAGGGCCCCAGTGCCATTCTCCACTCCTGCCCCTCGCTGACAGGGCTGGGGAGGCTAAGGGGCTCCCTTCAGGACACCCCCCGCCCCCCCAGCTTAGGATGGAGACAGGGCTAACCTGGTATTCAACCAAAGGGGAACTTGAAAGAAATGAGTGGGCTTCTGAGACCTGTAGCTGTGGGCAGCTGAAGAGCAAGGCGGGAAGATGAGATGGGGGGACACGGGGGACGCACGGGGGACTCACGGGGAGCCCGGCAAGCCCAGGCCTCCTCTGGGAAAGCACCAACTTGCCCAGAATGAGGCTGCAAAACCCGGTGGGCTCTCTGTCATCTACGTCGGGCAGAAAAGTTACTGACAGTTGTCATCAGAGCAGCCGGGATGTCTCCCAAACTCAAGACCCCCTCCCCCCCCCTCAGAGAGCAGCAGGCTCTACAGTCAAAACGCCCCTGAAGCACAGGTGCCCCTGCCTGCCTCCAGCAGCGCTCCGTCCCCTCCGCCGCAGGTCCCCTGGGGTCGAATGGCCACAGAAGTTGGGAGCTTTTACTGACCGTCTGCGTCAAAGTGCTTCCAGATCTCCAGGAACTGGGACGCCGTCAGCTCGGCCAGGTGCAGGTAAGGGGGCTGCTGCTGCGGGCCAGCCATGGCGAGCGGCTCGGAGACCTCGGGCGACACCGGGCTCTCCCTGCGCACTGAGCTCCGCG